TTTTAATCCTTTTCACTCTTTTTCAGTCCCTTTTCTTTCTCGTCTTCCCCTCCCCACCAACCCCATATTTTCAGAGTTGTTTTTATCCTGCCAAAAGATTTTCTTTCTGAGCTTCTTGGCATTCTATATTGCATTTTGTCATTTCATCCATTTTCATGGTTTTAACTTTTGGCGCGATGCAGGTGATTCTACTCATTAACTTTCCTTTTATCTCCAATACATCATTTAGAACTACCTTTTAGAATTACTCCAAATCAGTTTTAAATGAGAATTTATCTCCTGCTCTAAAGAACAGAGAAGCCAAAAACATACACTTATTCTACCTTCTAACTTGTACACACAGGTTTTTGGTTTTTGCCCTGATTAACAGATTTAAAACTGCTAAGAGCTTTACGTTTCCTTGCTTTTTTGCCTCTTTTAGTGATGGAACATCTACCTTTGCTTTATCCTCTGAAAAGATGGCTTAGTAAACACTCGCAGTACCTTCATGTTCATTGCTCTTTTTTGTTATAATTTTTTAAATATTTTTGTTTATTTTTGAGAGAGAGAGACAGTGTGAGCAGGGGAGGGTCAGAGAGAGAGGGAAACACAGAATCCAAAGACAGGCTCCAGGCTCTGAGCTGTCAGCACAGAGCCTGATGTGGGGCTAAAACCCACGAATCGTGAGATCATGACCTGAGCCAAAGCCAGATGCTTAACCAACTGAGCCACTCAGGCACCCCGGTGGCTTTTCAACTAGTGATGATCTATACATTTTTCTCCTCAATTATTATTATTAAACATTTTTAAAGACCATTGCAAAAGAAATGGAGTCTCTGCTTATGGAAATCAACTGAAAATGAACAATGTAAATTGTTCTTTAAACAGATTTCTGAGGAGCTCCTGGGTGGCTTAGTCGCTTGATCATCTGACTCTTGATTTTGGCTCAGATCATGATCCCAGGGTTAGGGGATGGAGCACCGCATCAGGCTTTGCACTGAGCATGGAGCCTGCTTAAGATCCATTCTCTCTCTCTCTCTCTCCTCCTCTCCCTCCTTCCTTCCCTCCCTCCTTCCCTGCCCCCCTCTCCCTCACTCACGATTGCTCTCTCTGAAATAAATAGAAAAATAAATAAATAGCTTTTTGAGATTATTAACTACAAGTTTTGGCAATTTGATGAATTTGAGTAAGACTGAGTGGGCAAAAAGGGAGGCTTTAGGAGAAGCTGTCCTTCTGCAAGCAAGGCCAGATCATAGTGAGAATGGGAAGGTTTATATGGTGACAAGTACTAAAAGAAGTACTTGCTCAGGGTGGGAGAAGTGACATGGGTTAGGGGCAGCTAAAAGGGGCATTTCAAAGTGAGATGAGAACTTGAAGATCAGCGGGAAGCCAGAGAAGGAACTTAAAGCAAGAGTAGGTAAGCGTTAAGAAGGGACACAATTCTTTCTGAGACACTTCAGACTGATTACAGGGGAGAACCTTACAGAGCAAGGAGGGGAATAAGGAGGAAATGGCAGTGTAAGTCACAGATGAAAAATAGTCCAAGTAAGTGTGAAGGGCTTTTCAATAGCAAGAAGGTATTGAAATGGGCCACCCATATCGGCTCACCCCAAGGGGGTTAAGGTGACAGGCTAATGTGCTCGTAACAGATGGCCTTCCATTGCCTTTCAATAAGGCGTGAAGTGGAGCTCCCTGGAGGGATAGCTGTAGTGGGTAGAGAGTGGACAAATAGAAGGGCTTTGAAATTTATTTGTATTTGTTGGAATCTGCTACATGTGCCTGTACCTTTGGATACAATCAAAGATAACATAAGTCTATGGCTTGTACACTTTCTTTTGTATTTGTAAAAAAAAAAAAAAGAATTATAAAAATCACGATGGGAATAAAGATCTTGTGAGGCTAGTATTTTCAGCTTTCCATCTACCTGTCTAGGAAATATGTTCAATAGCAGATATGGCTTTAAGTCCAACATGGGAGGAGCAGGGTGAAATAAAATTTCCCTTAACTTATAACAACAAAGTGGTTTTATTTTTTCAAGTTTCAAGGACAGGAAGAGAAAGCTGAGATTCCTAAGAGTTTCATAACTTGTCCAGAGCTCTATGGCAAGTCACACCGGATCATGATAGCAGTCCATTTCTTTTTTACTGTGCTCTTTATTTCAAATATTCTTCAGTCTCATTAAACATTCTCACTCAATATTTCCACCATTAACTTATATTGTCTTCCCTTGATTCTTGTTACTAGGAATTGTTGACAATGAAGATACTTTTTTTTTCCCATTTTTTAAAAAAATATTTTCACACTGCATGATCACTATCTTTCAGCATCTTGGAAATTCACTTTGACTCTTTTAGCACCTTGCTTGGCCTTACACGTCCCTAACTTCTCACTGTTGGTCATTTGCCAAGCCTGTTGAGTTTTTAAAAAATAGATTTCATTATTTTTTAGAGCAGTTTTAAGTTCACATCAAAACTGAGTCAGAAGGCACAGATTCCTTATATATCCTCTGTCCCAGTCATGCATAGCCTACCCCATTATCAACATCCTATATCAGAGTCAGACATTTTTTGGAACTGATGAACCTAAACTAACACATAATTATCACCCAGTCTATAGGTTACATTACGATTCACACTTAGTGTTGCATATTTTATATGTTTGGATGAATTTATAATGACACGTATCTACCCTAGCATCACACACAGTAATTTCACCATCCCAAACATCCTCTGTCTTCAACCACCTTATCCCTATATTATCTCTGATCTCTGACAACCACTAAGAATTTTACTGCTCCATAGTTTTGCCTCTTCTATAGTGTCATAAAGTTGGAATCACACAACTTGGCTTATACAAGCCTTGCCATAATCATAAGCCTTGTCAGATTGACTTATTTTACTTAGTAATATGCATTTATGTTCCCTCCATGTCTTTTCATGGTCTAATAGCTCATTTGTTTTTAGGGTTGAGTAATATTGCACTAACTGAATGCACCACGGTTTTACCCATTCACCTGATGAGTGAAGGACATCTCAGTTGCTTCCAAGTTTTGGCAATTATAAATAAAGCTGCCATAAACATTCATGTGCAGGTTTTTGTATGGACATATGTTTTAAACTCCTATGGATAATTTTCATTATGTAAGAAACCATGAAATTGTCTACGAAGCTGCCTGTACCATTCTTCATTCCCATCAGCAATGAATAACAGTTCTTACTGCTCTATATCTTCTATACCCATTGGTGTTGTCAGTGTTCTGGTTTTGGCCTTGTTGATTTTACATGAATTCTCACTAATTCATGAATCTTTCTCTTCATGAACACAGTCACTACTACAGTTCAAAATAACTCCCCCCCCCCCCCCAGGACTACTTCAGGAGTCTATTAACCGTTTACCTGCCCCGAGGCACCTGGGTGGCTCAGTCAGTAGAACATTTGACTCTTGGTTTCAGCTCAGGTCCTGATCTCACGGTTCGTGGGTTTGGGCCCTGTGTTGGGCTCTGTGGCAAAAATAAAGAGCGTGCACGGAATGCTGTTGAGAGTGCAGAACTTACTTAGGTTTCTCCTTTAGGAGAAAATTCAGTTTTTTATCTTTTTTCTCTTCTAATCTCTAATACGTTTTCTCTGCAAAAATTAGAAACAAAATAAATATGGGTTAAATAAACAAATTAGTGCATAATTCCTTTAATACTCATTGCATGGAAAATTAAAGAAATTGATAAATTTAATGGAACTTGGGAATAATTCCCTCTAATTTCTTCATCTTATGTATAAGAGAATCAAATTCAAAGAGGTTCTGCTACTGTTTTCAAGACTTCAGCACTTAAGATGGAAAAAATAGGACAAGAACCGAAGTCTCCTGATTCTTAGGCAATGTTTTTTTTATATATTTGCAATTATACTACTTTACCTCCTTAAGTATATAACGTATTACGTGAGTCTTTCTTATGCTCTACATGGTATATGTCCAATTAATTACTTAATTTCTCAATGATAATTATGTAAATTATACAAAGATCTTTGCTAGATAAGTTTTTCAATGACTCTCATTTGAGTAATTATTTTAGAAAAACAACTATACTAACACTCTCAAAATATAGGAAGAAGATGTAGAACTATTACCAAATGAAATATTTATACAAACGTATTCATTATTATTTTAAGAGAGGACCTTAAGGTGTGCCTGGGTGGCTCATTTGATTGGGTGATTCACTCTTGATTTTGACTCAGGTCATGATCCCAGGGTCGTGGGATCGAGCCCCATGCCGGGGCTTCACACTGAACATGGAGCCTGCTTAGGATTCTCAATCTCTCTCTCTCCTCTTCTCTACGGCTTGTACTCTCTTGCTCTAAAATAATTATGAAAAAAGGACCTTAAGAAGAAAACTACTCTTAGAACTCATTTAGAAAACAGACTGCATATTTTTTTAACATTTATTATTGAGAAACAGAGAGAGACAGAGCATGAACATAGGAGGGGCAGAGAGAGGTGGAGACACAGAATCCGAAGCAGGCTCCAGGCTCTTAGTTGTCAGTACAGAACCTGATGTAGGGCTCAGTGAGATCATGACCTGAGCCAAAGTCAGACGCTTAACAGACTGAGCCATCCAGGTGCCCCCAGGCTACATATTTAATAGCAAATTATTTCATTTAAAATTTCAAAACAATTATGTGATTGCCATCAATTGAATATAAACCATAAAATACCTATTTTGGTTAAGTAGTCTTATTTGTAAAAGCAGGCAAGTTTATTAATATAGTTCTCTGATTGATTCTGCATATATGTGTGCTTCATGTACTTTCCATATTATATATGTGCATAGCATCAATTAATCATGGTTGCCATTTTATGCAATTAATTTAATTTCCCCTTTTGAAAATGAACAAACATTTTTTGTCTTAAAAGTTAATACTGAAGGGTAAGTAAGAACATTACATTGTTTTGAACTCTAGCAAATATTACTTTCTCAGGTAGGATGGAGGATGGTTTCTAACTGTCTTTTACTATTTTCTCTTTGAAAGATCAGTAAGATTTGTGGCCGTCCAATCAGAGCACCTACACAAAGCCCCCATTGTTCGTTTGAGGGAAGCAAAGAGAAGCATGGGATGAAGATCTCTCCAAGAAATGGTGAAGAGACACTTGCCAACAGAAGAAAGTAAGACATTTGTTTTACAACCAGAAAGAGAAAAGAAAGTAAGCCATTCATTTTCAACAGAATAGATTGTATTCAATTAAGTAGAAGGAAATACACTATTGAAGAAAAAAAGATCACCATTAATTACTTTTAAAACTCATAGGTTGCTCCTATCCAATTAATTAGGAAGATAAGTACAACCGGGAGACCAATAAAACTTTTTGTGATAAGGGACATTTGCTATAAAACAATATGGCGGGCAATAGGCACATAAGGTCATTGTGTACTTAAAATGTGGCTAGCGCACAGTGTTGTACAGCAGACCTCTAGGACTTAACTCATTTCACTTAACTGAAACTTTATGCCCATTAGTTAATACTTTTCTATTTCCCACTCCCTGTGGTCAACAATACTGTATTGTACCCTTAAAATTTTGTTAAGAAGGTAGATCTTACCACAATAAAAAAATAGTTTAAAATATGGCTAGTGTGACTGAGAATTACATTTTTAATTTTAAATGATTTTAGCCTTAATTCCGCATATAGCTAGTGGCTACTATATAGGGTGATGCAAGACAGAAGAAGCATTCACATAAATTATGAAATCTGTATTACGGTTTATTAAGCAAGTATTAAAAAACAGTTGGAGAAGAAGTTTCTATACCTTTTATCTGGAATGCTGAAAATGGTTATATGTTGATTCAAAATCGTAAGCATTGAGTGGCTTGCTTGTATAACTCACATTTCTACCACTGCTCCTGTCATTATTTCACATGTTAAATTACAGCCTTTATCTATATCTCTTTGCTTGGTAATTCAGTCAAACTGAAAAGCTCTTAATCAAAAGAAAATATTATTTTATTTATTTTTGCATTCTCTTGGCCAGTGTATGTCCAGGCAAATACTAGCTTCTTGGTGGGTGTTTTTGAAAAGAACTGAAATCCAGAATTCTGGATTAATTCATTCATTAATTCAAATAGTTATTTCTGATAATACCTTATGGCAACTTCGACATTTTAATCGCTTTACTCTCTAGAATGTAAACTCTGTTTCTTTCCTTTTGGGACAGTGCTCTTAATTGCCTCATTCTTTTCTCAGATGGACTATAATTTGGAATAAAGATCTGGTCTTTGCTGGCGATTTGCTGCAGTTCAAAAGAATCAGCACTTTGCATATAAAGTAGCTGTTCTTTTTTCTTCTAAACATCTATAGTGATCAGCAGTCTTTTCTTGAATTTGAGAAATTAATGTGCTTTGGCTAGTGTATAACATATAGTGGCTAGGTATAGTGTGGAGTGATTCACCTAACAAAACCTAGCTAAGGAAGATCTTTAACTTTTTAAAGGTCATGTCTGTTTCACCATCAAAACAACTCAGTTGTTGCAAAGACAAAACAAAACCCAATACGAGTGAAATATCTCAGGAATAATGAGAGGCTCATGTGAATGGAAAGTTTTATAAGTATCTATTCAGGCCATTGAATAGACTTCCTTGTTACCAACCTTGCAAAGTCATGTATTTGTGTATCCGTAACCAACCAGCCACCACTAGCCATTGCCATGAATCAGAGTAGGTCCATCATAGACAAGTATCATGCTGCACAAAGTGAATAACCAGAGGTATTGGACATGAGCTCATTTCAGCAATTCATTTCAAAAATGTTTATTTAATTTTGAAAGAGAGAGCATACACATGTGCAGGGGAGGGGCAGAGAGAGAGGGAAAGAGAATCCCAAGCAGACTTCATGCTCTGAGGCCAGTCCCCGACACGGGGCTCAGTCTTATGAACCATGAGATCATAACCATAGCCAAAATCAAGAGCTGGTTGTTGGGGCACTAGGTGGCTCAGTTGGTTAAGTGTCCAACTTCGGCTCAGGTCATGATCTCATAGTCCATGAGTTTGAGCCCCATATCAGGCTCTGTGCTCCCAGCTCAAAGCCTGGAGCCTGCTTCAGATTCTATTTCTCTCTCTCTTTCTCTGCCACTCCCCTACTTGTGTTCTGTCTTTCTTCTATCTCTCTCTCTCTCTCTCTCTCTCAAAAATAAACATTGAATTTTTTTTTTAAAAAGTCAGATGCTTAACTCACTGAGACACCCAGGTACCTTTAAGTGATTCATTTTTACACATTTTTTATTGTCACTTCTAAATGGAATTTAATTACTACTTCAGTATACTTCTGCTTAATACTTAATATATTGTGCAGACCTATGCATAAACTACACCTGAACTTTATCTTTCCATATCCATAACTTAGACCTGAGTTTTATTTATCCTTCAGCACTGATCATCCCCCATGAGGTCATAAATTTCAACTGAAATAACCAGAGAAGTGTAGCAGGTCCTAGTGAATCTGAGCTACTTTGTGTTCATCTTGTGATTTTTTTACCCACTTGAGCCTGATTTTCAATAAATCACTTCCACTGGGTATCACGTTGCTCCTATACAAGATTGACTTCATAGCCTGGTAAAGCAGATAGCACTTCGTTCATGATGGGCATCTCAGGTTTCAGTGTCACTTGCTAGCTCATGGTCATGTGTGTAGTTTCTATCAGAGCCCAGTTGGAAAACCAACCAACCCAACCAACCAACCAAACAAGCAAACAAAACAGTCTTTACCAAAAGAAGGAATGACAAGTCCAAAATCCTTGATGTCTATACTATAATTCTTCTAGTGGGACTTTCCAGAGTTTCTTCATTTGCCACTGGTACTTTAGGCACCATTGAATGGATAAGCTGGGTCATCTAGACTGAATGTCCGAACAGTTTGCAAAATACCAAGCTACAGACTTTTCTTTCTCATACAAAATCTCCTTGGGGCTACTCTACAAATGGGCTATAGCAACACAGTCAAGTGTGTATTATGTTTTCTCTAATATTCAAAAGGACCCAAAAAGCATTGTGCCTCTTCCTAAGTGCTAGGTCATCATAAGGCAGAAATTCACCTTTTACATTAGAATATCCCAGTAAGATCCAGATGACTAGACATTTAGAACCCCTGCTGAATTGTCAAGCATTTGAAATGTCAATATTTTTCCCCACCAGAGGCATGAACATGTCTACTAAGGCAACTAGGTGATGTGGTTTTATTTAAACAAAATCAATATTTTATTATCAGCATGGTGCCCTGTAGGATGTCCAAATGATCAAGGCTCCTGTCTGACATGGGGTAGGAGAATTGCCCTGAGATCTAACAGTGAAGACATCCTTACCAGCTGAAAGAGAAATATTTCTAATTGTCCTTACTAATTGGTAAAGAGATAAAAGCCTTTGCCAAATTGTTAGCTAGATAGCAGGTGGCAGTACATGTTTTGATTTGCTCTGACAGATACCACATACAAAGGAGGATGTAATTGGAGTCACCCTCTGACTCAGGTTATGATAATCCAAACATTCTTCAATCCCATCTCAGTGTGTATAGAACAGCCAAACAAGTGAGGTGAATATTGAATAGACTGATTTGGACAAAGATATGTTTATAATGCTATATATGGCTACTTTTCTGAACTCTATTCTAATGGCTAGGCTGTTGATAGGATTGCATTCTCTATGTGAACAATCACATGGTACATTGGTACCACCATTCTTGCAAGAAGCTAGCTGTATCTTGTAAAACTCATACACTCTATGCACTTGTCTACCTTACCTTAGCATGTATCCCTAGAAACTCTCGCTCATATTTGCAAGGAGAATTCTTGAATATCTGTGGTAGCTGAAATTTAGAGGCAAGTTATCTGTCCATAACAAGAAACATGGAAGAAGAAAATATATTACTTTGCAATACTATGAGTCAGAAGGATAGAATGCATTTTCATGCATCAAAAAAAAAATCATTGCGATTAAAGAGAAAATATATTAAATAGAATGAGAATAACAGTACAAACACCATTTTTATAAATTAAAACAAATATATAAAAATTTGTATATAGTTTTCAAGGAGAGGATATGGCAAAGTACTTATATTAGAATGGATATTAATAGAAAAACAGAAAAAGAACTGAGGGATGAAGAAATATAAAATAAATATTCTATTTCAAGTATAAGTTATGACAGTATAACAGGGATTGAGGACTATGTTTAACTCTCTGTATCTGAGAAAATATGTGTGTGTTTGTGTGTGCATAGATATAAATCAATATACGTAAATACATTATTTTAAAGTTTAGATGAAAAGTGTTTTTTAAATTATATTTCCCTAGTATAAACCATAGTTAATACTCTTTCAGTCAAAATTTTCACATGAACTAATGATATTCAATTTTTAAATAGCCTTTTTTTGCTATTTATATGCTAAGCATAGATAGTTTTTCATTACGGGGTACAGTAGATACAGTATTATCCAGATAGAGATAAAATATAATTTGCTGAAAAGACTGGTTGACTGAGGAATTTCTGCTGTAACTTACATATTAATTAGAACAAAATGAAAGTTTATTGTAAAAAAAAAGTAGATACAAAAAAAGTGAGTTCTCAGCCTATCCAAATCATTAACAAACACTGTTTTATGCAGTTCATAAAAAGGTTAAAAAATAACATTTTCTGAGTTACCTTTTATAAGTTGGCACTGTATCTATGACAGTTTTTCTTAGGTTTTCTTTATTTACTTTGGGCAATTCCCATGAGAACATCTATAACATATATTATCTATATCTACATCTATACATCTATATATACATCTATAGATGTATAGATATAGATATCTATATTATCTATAAATTTAAAACTAGAACAAATAAAAAAACACACAAGAGTTTCTGTAACAATATAATTGCTCTAGTTGCTGAAAAATAGGAATAGTAAAATGCATCTGTTGTTTTGCCAATGTAAATGAAGATAAAAACTGTTCTATGGTTAATTTAAAATATGTTTTTACATATAAAGAAGTCATAGTTTTTTAAAAATCGTATTGTCATAGTTTATTTTAGACTTAGTATCTTTAGTGGTACATCTTATAAAAAACTGTTGTCCAAAGCTTGCTTATTTATTTATTTATCTTAGTACTCTCTATACCCAATCTGGGGCCCAA